GGACATAAAAAGGGAAATATGTAAACATATTTTCACCTGTTTGATTTAAAGAGATTTTCCAGGATCAACAAAATAAATAAAGATGCTTCAAGGTCTTCAGTCATGAGAATGTGTAAAAAACGTTTGGAATGCAAAACTGAAAAAAAAAAAGAAATTTTATTAAAATGATTATCAACTACTAATACTGCTATTTCTGTTTAGCACATGAGATCTAATTAACACTAGATACAACCCAGAAGTTTATTTTGTAAAAATATTTTTCCAACACAAATTAAAACAAGTAAAAGCTGGTAGAAAAAGAAAAAGTATGTTAATTTCAGCAAAATCGAGAACTGAAGTCAAAATCAATTGAGATCGAGTATTCACCTGTTAACAAGTTGCCAGAGCTACCATGATCTAAGGCCCGATTTGTATGGAGAAAAGTTTTACCAGGAATGAGGGTCATCCTCTCAGCCGAGTCAACTTGGGTGAGCGTTTGTAAGGGAAAAAAGTTGTCGCCTTTGCCCAAGCCAAAGCAGGGCTAGCGCATGCTCTGATTATCTCATCTTGACCGAGTTGACCCAGCTTGGGAAGCCAAAGCTAGTGTTTACAATGTATATTGGAGAAATGTTTGTCCGGCCAAGAGGGTGACCCTGTCATCATGCAAAAGAGTCACCATTCTAGCCGTGCTAGCTTTTTGTTTCTCACGTGAACAGTGTGCTAAGTTTTATAAGGAAATGATCAAAAAGTTGGCTCGCTCAGGGTGGCTTGGGTACTTGAGTGACCCTTCGCCCGAGGACAAGTTCTCTCCATGTAAAAGGGGCAAAGGACTGTTTTCTGTCTCAAAAATAGATCCACCTTTTGGCAGCAGTGGTTACAAAGAAAGTATTTTACCATTGGAGGTAAGGAAAACATGGTAGCTGTACAGCCACTCCAAGGAATTCATCATCTTTCTGAACTGTTGGAAATTTGAGTTCTTCTCCCTTTCCTAAAGATACATGTAAACAAAAAGTATTAGAAGGTTTTGAGTCAATCTTAAACCAACAACTGTCCAAAATAAGCATTACAGATACAGACAATGTAAAGCAAACAAAGCATACGCTGTGCAATTTTTAAGTCCTTCACTGCATTGCAGCCAACTCACTCTTAACGGGCACCTACAGATTGTCCCTCTAATTGTTTTTTCATTTAAGACTGATCTCCATACACTGTACAATACCATAAAGAATACAATTGAACCTCTCTCCAATGGCCACCTTGGGGACAGAACAAAGTAACCATCGTAGAGAGGTTGAAACAAGAGTGAATGTTTGGACTGTCTACCAAAAAAAAGGCCGTTGTAGAGAGGTGGCCATTATTGAAGGTTCCACTGTTGTACAGAGAATTTGATAAATCAGGGCTGTCATTAAGGTAGGGCTTCTGACAGATCATGAAAAAAAAGTCAAATTTCGCGGGATTTTTAGGGACAAATTCGCGGAAAAATCGGTCGATTTCGCGGGAATTTTGTGGGAATTTTCAGGGCAAACTTCGCCGAAAAGCAATCGGTAAAAAACGGCCGATTTTGTGGTTATTTTTAGGGCAAATTTCGCTTGAAATCGATCAGTTTTGCGCTGATCAGACCAGCATTTTTGACGTTTTTCTAACAGAGGTCATCATTTGCACTTTCAACAACAAGACGCTTCAGAAATGAACCAATGGTAAAGCCTTTAACATCATCGCTAGTGCCCAGTTTTTCACAATGTAATCTATGCCTGGTAGTTTTGGGACATAGTTTGCACATATTAGTGACGAAGTTTTAAGATAAATTTGCAAGTTTACGGCAAGTAAATAGCCCCAATAGCTGAGATAAATTTCAAATATGTTGTACAAGCATGTATTTGATAAGATTTCTACCGAATTTCACGGCATTTTGCGCGTTTTTGGGAATTTTGTGGCTCTGCGACCACGTGAAATATCAGAAGCCCTGTTAAGGGCAAGGGGTCAGGGATTTCCCATGGCTACAAGGAATGTGACCCCCGACTAATTTGATATGAAAATACAAGAAAATAAAAGAACCATAAGAAATCTCTAGCTGTTTGATTCCCTGCCTACTACATGTACTACACTGCACATTGACATCTTACTAAAAGCTCTGCAAAAGATCAAACATTTTCCCTTACACGTAGATGATCATTTTATTAAAATAAATTCTCATAACATTTTGTCTTGATTGTTTATTGATATTTTTGCAAAACATTGATATTTTGGGCACTCTTGGGACTTAAAAGGGTTAAAGACATAGATGATATTACATGGCTGTGCTGAGATACAAAATTTCTCTTCGAGTGTTGAAAAATATTTCACGCGTGAGCTGCGCTCACGGGTGAAATATTTTTTTCAACACGAAAAGAGAAATTTCGTATCTCCAAGCGACCATGTAATATTCTATTTATTATATCAATACCAGTGAAATGCCAAACCATTTTACTTAAATAGTTTTTTGGTCTGAATGGTGCGGTTTATTATGAAGCCATAGCAATGGTGATATTTTCACATGTGAAGACAACATGTTATTTTCACATGTAAAGATATCAAGTTTTCGAGCGAAAGCTCACTTGGTATTTCATTGGTGTTTATATAATAAAGTTGACTATGTAACAGGACACAAGGTTCCATATAAAACGATATTGACATTCTGGTGAAAAAAAAATGTACCACTAGATTGCAGATACATATTATCTTTGATACTCACCACTTTTGCTTTAACACTGAAGTCCAGTAATTTGGCCGCCAATGTTAGCAAGTTCTCAACCACATCAGGAAGAAAGGTTTCTTCATATTCTTTAACTTCTGGTAATGTAAGCCCTACACAGCTCTGGCATAAAATGTTACCTAACTGGGAAGCAGTTTCCCATCCTCCAGAAATGCCTCCAAAATCCTGTTTAAGAGCTGAAGAAAGGAAAAATAACATCAAAAAAATAAATATTAAATTAATATAGTTATTCATAAAATGATGAAGCAAATTGTACCAACTATTTGCCAAGTGACAAATGAAGCTATGTTGGAAATATCATTCTGCTTCTTAGTCAATGCCGGCACAAAAATAATCGCATGTGTCAATACTTCCTAAAAGGGCACAGTTTGCTCTCTCTGAATGGTTTCACTCCTAATATAGCCAATTCTCAAACAAAAACGTTCAAATTTCCCAAGAAATAAATAGTACTGTGCAAGTGTTCTGCCATGGAGGTTTTATTTCAATGGTAACATCAAAGGATTCCATCAACGGATTTAAAAGTTAGAGACAGTGAGAAACAATGTGGCCTTAACATGGTCAAGGAGTAAAAAGTTAAGCAGCCACCTTTGGTGCAGCAAAAAAGGGCAGCTTTATCAGTGTCACTTTCACCTTAGTTTTGAAATAAAGCCATTTTTCAACAGATGAATGTCTTCTTTTGCCTATTGTTTAAAAAATGTATAATAAAACAATTATTGAATTCGGTTTTTGCATGATATCATGAATTATCAAAACCTCGTGTCTGTATTATCTGCCGAAGCCGATAACACAGACCTCGGTTTTGATAATTCATGATATCATGCTCAACCTCATCCAATAATTGTTTATTATTACCTAAGTTGCAAACATGGATAACATCATACGTCCATAAGTCAATCCTTATAATTGTACCCAGGCTGCTTCGCGGTGGACCAAGATCAAGGATATCTGAAAAACGTGAACATAAAATTATATTATAGTAAAACGTCATTAACAAAAAAAAAAGTAGAACAGTTGTTTTCTAAATCTCAATCAATCTGTCCCACTTCATATTAAGTCTTATATAATTATTCTCTATCTTCGGCAATTCTTGAATCCCAGTTTAGATACGACGAGTAAAAAAGGTTAACGTACCTTTCAGCTGCAGTAAAAGGACGGGTACATTACTATCATCAGTTTCAGCGACTTCAGCAGCGAGATGAAGAGCACGTTGGCGAGCTTGTTCTGTCTCCTCATCGCCATCCACAACATCCATCAATAAGCGATAAACTTAAGCTTTTAAAATATTGATTT